GACTAACATCGCGAACATGAGAATGTACCTGACTCCACCCCCGACGAGTGGCGCTGTGCTGGCACTTATCTTAAACATTTTGAGAGGTAGGAGTTGTTGACCAAACGACGTTTAACTTTCTCGTGGAGAAAACTCTCCGAAAGCGTATGGGATTTTCCTTTTCTAATTAAGTGTTTTATGTAATGTTCAAATGACTGACTGTATTTCTTTGTCTCTTGAATGAGTCGAAAACACGCCATCATCCAAGTACCCTGAGGCTGTTAAAAATAAGCATGCGTGACCATAACTTAGCTAAAGCTGAATTGAAATCAAAGAAATTTAAAGCACAAAGGTTGACCCATCATCCTACTACGACTTGTTTTTCATGTCCAGCCAAATTTACAGAAATTTTTACTCAAAAGATTTATAAATAATTTTGTAATAATAATAATAATTTTTATTAATTTCTATTGCGCAATTATCGATATAAATTTTCAATTGCGCATTACAATATGATCTTAATACAAATATATAAAAATACAAATGTAAATGTAGATTTAGATATATAAATACAAGTAGAAAATATAAGATATATGTAAAAGAAAAGCATCACATCTAACACTATAAAAAGGCTAGTCTAAAAAGATAAGTCTTGATTGCCGTCTTGAATTTATTAATTGAATTTAGGTCCCTGATATCACTAGGAAGCTCGTTCCATAATTTGGGGGCGGCCACTAAGAATGACCGGTCTCCTAGAGTCTTGCGAGACTTCAATGCAGGATAGTTTAACGTCAAGGACTTCATTGAACGCAGGCAAAATCTACTTGATGATACATCTCTAATTGAGATTAATTCGCTAATATAGACGGGCGCCAGACTGTGGATAGCTTTAAAAGTAATTAAAAGTGGTAAGGTATTGGGGGGGCGAGAACCGAAGATACAAGCTTCGAGTCCTCTTCAGGGAATCAGATTTTTTCTCTGTCTAACACTCGTGACAACCGAAAGATAACAGCTTTCTTTCAACTTATATTGTCCACTAAAATTGTGGACGAGATTTCTTCAAACAAGAGAAAACTTCAAGAGAGGATCATTCAAAGTTTATATCTTGAAATACTTAAGGGGGCAAGCCTCCGGGTATACAATGTATTGCAGTGATGTTTGCAAATGCAAAAAGCGCAGGGGGCAGTTCCCATCGACGAACTTATTTAACGATCATAATTATTGCAACGATCACATCGCAATCATGGTCGAAGTTAGTCAATGTTTGAAGTTGCGGTTTACAATGCATTGCAGTGATATTTGCAAATAGGAAATACATAGGTGTGGTTTTTATCCAGGTCCTTGATTAATTAACGACCATAATTATTGCAACGATCCGGCATCAAGCGGATTAAGGCCATCATGGTCAAAATTAGTCATTGTTTGAAGTACCTCAAAGGTTATCTTAAGTGATTCATGTCAAATTTGTAAAGTTAAAAGGCAATAGATGTGGTTATCAGGGAAACTGGATAACTTCTTTGATTGTATGCTATTGTAACAAAGTTGAAGTTAACTTTTGATTTTAGACGTATTTGATTGGAGTCCTGTGAAATGTTAAATACGACATCAGCTAATAAAATGATCGATTGTAAAACGTTAGTTACGGTGGTTCAGCTCAAGAGTTTATATGAATGTTTGGTACGTCGTAGAGAGAAATTTATCTTTCTTTTGTGAGCTTTGATAGTTTTACTCACAGTAATTAGAAAGTGTAGAATTTGTTTTTTTAGCGTTTAAATCTGAAGGCAATACATCGAAATTTATTCCGATACAGTTCTTGAGTGGTACAGTTCATTCTCCAGACTTTCGCTTTGTCTGAAATCCGTATTGGATGTTTCTTAAGAGATAATTATTCAACGTTAGTCGAAACTTTGATCTTATATTCCTTTAGCTAAGAGTAACACTTATTATGTTCTGATATAAATAACATTACACTCTACCTTCCCATCATAAAGCGCTTCTCAACGTTGCGGACAAACGGCGTATCCCTGAAGAATAATCCGACTCCTGCCACCACTACACACAAGCCGACCAACACCAGCAAGGCTCGTAGATAGCGGCGCGTAGAACGATTGCTTGAGCATTTCTTCTCCAACATGGCCGCGAATTTTTCTGAAGAAGATCAGGAAGCATTCAAATTTTGCGTCCTTTAAACTCACCAGTTGAATTATTTACCGGTGGTTTGTAATGGAATGAAACGGTTGGTGGAACTCGTTCCTGTCTGGTTGCTAAGTCACCCGTGTTGGTATCCGGTACCCGCTTGGTGTTTTGAGTTTAAACCACGTGTGTGAAGTACCGCTTAAAAGCGAGTTTTGACTTTATTTTTACAAACTTCATGGATGCCAAGGGAATCTGGCGGGACCCCCGGTGGGAATCTTTGCGGAACCCCCGTGGGGAATCCCGTCTGAGAACACAGGCTGATTCTGGCCGAAGAACGAAGTACAGCTTCTGCTGCCCAATAGAAGCCGCGCTCTGCTCTCAAAGTTTTTGTCTAATAACTTACACAGGTCAGAAACGACAGTTTGAAACTGTTCTTGGGATAGTTGCTACGTTTAAATTCAAGTTAGAGTTTCGCTGACACTGTACAGTTACAACTATTCAAATTATTGAAAATAACAGCTGCATGACTCTTATTTCAAGGGAAAGGCTAGGGTTTGTTATCAACGCATTTTGAAACATGTTACTAGCCATGCATTACTTTCTTCTTCCCATGAACCCTTTCGATGCTCTATATCCTATACCATATCCTTACCCAGGGTGTTACGGTATTCTGGCGGAAGGTAACATCGAGGTAAATTTATCCCGAATACGGTAAAATGGAAGAACCAAGATTACAAATAAATTTTTAATTCGGGTTCATGTCATTCTCCTGATAAAATTATGGATTTAGTAACCTCAGTCGGTCCCGTCAATCTCATTGGATATAATTTTTTTATTGAAGCAAGGCTAGTTTAGAGAAGCCCGCATCATGCAACAAGCTGTTTTGATAGTTTTCAAATTTGTACATTGTTTTATCATCTTATGCCTCACTCATCGCGCTAAGAATAATTTCGAGTTTCGATCCACTTGTTAATGAGTGACGTAACACATCCATATTGTGCGTGAAATATCGTCTTTCAGATGTATCACTGATAGAATTTATACAACTCATTTATGCTGGCTTTAATTGAAAGCCTTTTGTTCCACAATGTTTAAATAAAAAATTAATTTTGAGAAGGGAAGTCAGGTTTGGAGGGCTTCTTCACTACGTTATCGCAATTTTACGTTACTCTTCTTAAGAACCTCAAATCCAAAACTACCTTTACTATTGTACCTGGAAATATCCTAAGAGGAAACCCATCGAGTAATTTTTTTGTTCTGTTTTGTTTTGTTTTTGTATTTTTCAAATAAACAAAAACTTCTCAAAAAAAACAGCTTTCAGCTTGAGGGCTGATTTTTTTCTGCTCTTTCCATTATTTTTGGGATACTACGGATATTAAACTGGGTCTTTATTCTGTTTAACTTATAAATGATTTTTTTCCACTAGTACTCTGTTCGAAGAAATGGCGAGTATACGCGCACAAGTTTCGAAACTCCTGCTGCAAATAGATCTTATTCGTAAAACCTTCGCAACAAAACTAACACTTCTTATCAGTTAGTTGTTTCAATGAAGATGAGATAATTCGTTCTCTACAAATGAATTGGATGTCAAGTTCTACTTGCGCGGAACTAAAATCAACGGCTTTCCTCAAAAAGCTCGATTCAGTGCTTGGATAATATAATGTGCTTGTGTCAAACCGCACCGGCGACGGCAGTATGAAATAATTATAAACAGAGAGACCTTTTATGAACTGGCGTTCGAAGTGTAGTTTATTTAAAGTCTGTTTGATTCGTTTGACAACTTAGTTTATTAAGAAGCCGCACTGTTCAAGCTGAGTCTGGCTGTGAGCCACAACGCTGAGTCACAAATCTTCCTGTTCCGTTGTTAGTGCTGTTCTAATTTACATTGTCTTTATTTCGCGTCCAATCAAACTTCCCAGCAGGTCTAGAAATTAAATTAACAAGAAAAACGTTCAAGTAAATTGAAAATTGATGACAGGTCTAAGACTGAGACAAAAGCTTCATGGTAACTCGTTCCCTTTCCTGGGGCAAAGAACTCAAAAAAGAAAAGAATGAACATAAACATAGCTCAGTTTATAATTTTTTTTGGGAACATCTTGTTCCAGCTGGTTGCATTTTCCACCAATGCTTTGGCGTGAAAGAAGACATGCAGTGTACATGAACTTTAGAACTAACAAATGAAAGAAACTACTGGGGTCTGATGGTCAGAACCACTTTTAACTGTGCCTCAGAGTTTTTTTTTTCCTTTGCAAAACTAACATCAGGCTTGGGAAGTAATTCAGTGTAACCAACCATATCTCTAACTTAGATAGAATTCAGGCACTTTTGCTAAACAGTTGAATGAAAATTAATGCAAAGAATATTGAATCAACTTTTGGGTAAATATATAGTCGCTTCGCTAAATACATCAAAAGGAACGAAATTAAACAGAGTTTACATTTGTTTTAAACTATTTTTTTCTGCGGCTGAATGATATATCTATTCGAAAGTCTCTGGAAAAGGACTTTTTAATAGAGGAAGAATATCGTAAACGGTCACATCTGGTAAATGGCGCAGATTTTCCCGCGAATGCTGAAGAACTAAAGCAAAACACCCTCTGGCGACGTTTTAATTTAAAATTTACGTTTACACGCCGTTTGAATCCAATTCATCTCGCAAGTACTGGCAAAGAACAACCCAAATGGCTTTTATTTGTCTGATTAACTTTCCTGTTCTGGTTGGAATCCAGTCGTCACTTTCTACGAGAGATTCGAAATCGATTATCGACTCGTTATTTCTTTAAAAAGTTGTTATTTGTTCTCGTTATATGTTTCTTTGAAGAGTGAGTGTCTCTTTAAGGCGAATTAGAAATGTCGTGATGTGAAAATTGCTCGGTGGTTAATTAAGCACGCGCTATTTGACCCTAACTGATATATTTGCAAGCAGCTCTCAAGCATTTGCAGATTTTAAGATTGGCATGGAAATTGGACTGTGGATACTAATAGTTCAAGATGGCCGCTTCCTCTTGACTAAAAGGAAGGCCTTTGTTATCAAGTGACATACACCTTGATCGTGACTTTCCCTTGACTGCCTTTAGACCGCCTACGACTTTATTTATTTCATTTTTATATCCGGAATAACAAGTATATTTTCTGAAATAAACGCGTGTGAAACTGCAAATCGTAATTTTAATATATTTTCTTTTCTTCCGAGCGCGAAAAACATCATCTTTAAATTCACACAGTTTATTCTATTGGGTCGTGCGGTTTTCAAATGATTACTGTATATCAGAATTCTCATTTACTTGGCAAACACCTATAGTAATGTTAATAAGCCCTTTTTTCTCGGCCTCTTTTAATCGACTGGTCTTGAACAACTCTCGATTCTTTCAACGTTTACTGAAAACACTCCTTATATTTCACCCGACCGATCGGTTTTTTTCTAACTGCGCTTAATATCGAGTGTGTATCTTATCTCGAAAAGGACCAATTTAAATATTCTGTTGAGTGAATAGTGAATCCACTTGGTTAAACGGAAGGCTGTGTCTTATCGAAACATTTTGTTTTAAAGAGCGTGCGAAAGCCACATCTGTCAATATTGTTTCACAGCGAAGTTCTCACAAAGTGGTAATCCTTCGCTCGCAGCGTGTACAGAAGTAGATGTTTCATCAAAAACCAAAATAAACAAGCCCTGCATAACTTCTTAGATGGAGGCAGGATAAGTTAAAGCCCCCTTGATGGCACGAGTCATGAATTAAGAAAACCGAGAGAAAAACGAGTCGCGATGATCTGCTTATTGTTTAGGTGCGCCTGAAAAGTCATAAATTCGGCGCATTAGAACGTGATTCGAGTCGCATTATATTAAAAAGCTGTTTCCATATGTGTCAAAACAGTCTTTGTTTTGAAAGTTAGAAGGTATAAATATTCAACAGATGATATGAAAAGAAAACAGAGCTGAGGATAAAAATATAATAAAACGAGCGCAACTCACGTTTCAATGTTAATTATTCGCCCTACTAATCAATCATTCATAACCGTTTGTAATTCTGACATGTGCAATGGTTTTACCGGCGACAGCAGCACATAACACCATATATATATATATATATATGTAGATATAAATTTTAAGGGGGCTTAATAAAGTCTCTAGGTCATTGCTTAAGATTGCTCACTCGGGCGTGGAAAAAACCAACATAGCAACAACAATAAGCCGTGACAGCGAACGAACTGAGCCGATCACGGATGGAAATCTGTTCAGTTTGCGGAGACCATTCCACCGGGCGGCACTATGGAGCCAATACCTGTGAAGGATGCAAGTTGTTTTTTAAGCGAAGTATCAAGAAACGGCTCTACTACACTTGTAGAGTGGCTGGGTGCTGTCCTGTGAACAAGCGCTTTCGGAATAGCTGCCAGTACTGCAGGATGAAAAAGTGCCTTACGGTAGGAATGAAAAGGGAAGGTGAGCAACTAACAGACATTTATTTTTCTTTTCTTAAATCATTGCATTGTCTTGTAGGAATTGCTCTCAGTTGGATGATAGATTACCAGTTTAACCTCTGAAATATTTTGGGTAAAATGTCTCCCAGACAGTCGTAAAGTAACTTAATATGAGATTCACATAATTTGAATGAATTGGGCTGACAAGACTTAGAAAAGTCAATGATTATGAAAGAAGCAGAAAAGCTTTATTTTCCTCTTGATAAATTTACAGAAACTTTACTGCAAAATTCAACCGAGAAAAAGATCTGCTTCTCAACAATAAAGGAGGAAGCAAAGTTTCTCAAACATTTTTCAAAACAGATCTTTTGTAAAAGGGTTGTCAAATTTGTCCGCAGTTAACAACATTTTCTCTCACTGATGAAATAATAGATACAATTTCTAAGTAAAATATTTGACCAAGATATAATTAAGGCGTTGTTGTGATGAATTTTCGGTTTTTCAGTTACGCAAATATTGTTTTTAATATCATACGTGTTTGATTGAGTGCAGATTTTTTAACATTATAAGTAGTATGCTTGGCATCTTGTTTTGCTTCTTTTAAAACGGAGAATCGTTTTCATTTGTTTTCATCAGCTGTGCAACAAACCAGAGCGAATGAGTTTGAAAAGGGAAGAAAAAGACACCGTAGCCGGCAGCCGTTGAAGGGGGATATCCGAAGAGAGGCAGATTTTGTGTCACTGTCGGACTTTGTTTACCATTTGCAGGCAGTTGAGCCTTATCAAAGGCCGCCGGAGACTGAAAGTGATACAAGATCAGTTGCAGAAGACAACACGGTAGCTAGAGGCGAAAGTGGCAGCGCAGTTGCAACGAAATTACCAGCAGAAAGCACCACAGAAATCGCAGCCCGGCTGCTGTTCATGTCGATACACTGGGCGAAGAACGTTCGCCACTTCGCTGAACTGTCTCATATCGACCAAGTGAGCCTCTTGCAGGAAAACTGGTGTAAAATATTCGTCATAAACCTGGTTCAATGGGCGATGCCTTTCGAATTAGCGCCGCTGGTTGCTGATGTGATGGAAAAAACAGCGAGCGAACATCTGGATAGAGTTCTTCACAACATAGGAAAGTTGAATGAGGTTGTTTTCAAGCTTGTTCAGCTGGGTTTGAACAGAACCGAGTTCACCCTTTTAAAGGCACTGGTACTTTTTAACCCAGGTAAGAAAAACTATATCAATTTTTTTGTCCACTTTATTCGATTGGCATCAAACACGAAAAGTTGTATTGGGTGGAGATCGCAATAAGTTTCGCTTTTACTTAAAGAGCTTCGAGCAACATGCAGTTGAACTTTTTACCACTCTCTTATTTCTAGCAATTTAAAATTGGCTGCAGAGTTTTTGCCGAATTTTTGAAAAAAAAGCCCCGCGAAGGTGCTCTGAAAATAAGTTAAATCCAAGATGAATCCATGGTCGATCTATCGATTGAGAATAAGGGACTTCGCTATTGATAATGACATTATATGTGGGATTCCTTCTCGGGGTGCAAAAGTGTTAATGTCTTGTTCATAACCTCCTTCCGTTTCTATTGCCCATGACCCTGCTATTGCGCAGTCCATATTTTAACCCATGATAGCTGGCACAGTGTAAACAGCGGATTCAAAAACACGATATCGGCTACAGATACTTAATGTTAACAGTTTTCGTTGGGGAGTTTCGTTTTCACGTAATACAGACTTTATTGTTTGGTTGTACGCGACAAATTATCGACTGAAGTGCGCCTTTTTCATGATTTCGCAACATTACGTTTATGAAGTGGCAGGAATTAATTCTTGAGAAATTGTTAATCTCTTTGGCGCTTATTCAAGGCCATCGCCATGAATTTACAAATTAGCATGCGTTTGACACTTTGATACGGAAGAACGGAAAAAAAGATCGCACCAGCAAACCAAAATGTATTTAAATTATCGCGAAGATCTTTCACCGGAAGTCTGTTGCGATTTTCTGACAATCGAATCGACTTTTTCATTTTAAATTGCGTGATTTTCCTTCACATTTTATTTCGACCGTAGCCTGTTTTCGGCTACGTAGAGAAATGTTCTTAACATGCGGATTAGCAAAGCCTTTAGGGGAATGATTTGCTTGCGAATTTATTAAGTGCTAGGGTTCATGTTCTATACATTAATATTTCTAGCAGACTGTAGCCGTAATCGGGGGGTTATTCAAAACTGTTTGACTTTGCCGCAAAAGACCCTTCCGGCTGATGAGTTAAAAATGATGAGCTAATCGATTTTTGACGGAAATGACAACGACAATGAGTGTTTTTCCGAAACGAGCAAAATGAGTATTAGGTGGAATTGTGAACTCGGGTTCAGCCCAAGGGTAAGTTCTTGCGTGTTTCAATTTAAGTATTACTCGCAGTTTTTTTTTCTTTTTTTGACTTTTAATGAAAATCAACAATAGCTTATGCGTCACACCTGTAAAACGTAATGGCTAATCAAATTGTTTTTATATGAATTTTAACGTGTCTTTAAATAGAATTTTCCAATTTTCTTGTGTGTGTTTTACATACAAATCAGCGTTCTGGATTATTTCTCAAAGCAGTCCTAAATAAATTATTAGTTTTCGATTTCAGTAGTTTTTGTCGACGAATTTCAGTGTGTTGAAATCTAAACGTTTTCGATAAGAAAGATGTTGAAATCATGATAAAAATACTAGTGCATGTAGATCCAGTGCTCGCTGCGTATGTGTGTGTTTTTGATTCTTTATTTCGTTGTGTAGTAATTGTCTGAAAAATATATTGAGGCTACAAAGATCGATTTTCATAGCTATGAGTCACCGAACTGTGCTACATGAAATATTGGAAGAGGAAGCAGTCGATTTTGCGAACTAAAATGCAAAACAGGGGAAACTTTTACGATGAAATTTCTCACTTTTTACCGCTGTGTTGCGTTCATCTTTTGTTTGTCATGTAGCACGTTTTCGTTTGTTCAGAAACAACAATAACAAGTGAAATAGTGAGTTTTATTGAATTCGTTGCAAGCACCTTTTTTTGTATGACTGGGTTTTGCTCAGAACGTTCTATTAACATGATTTGAATCAGAGATATATTTCTTTCCTTGATGTTGTTCATTTTCTTATTACTGAAGATTCAGTCTGCCATTTTTCTTGTCATAGTTACACTCTCCTTGTTGTTGTGGAAACCTTGTAATGCGGAAGTAGCTGTGTATTCCCTGAACTCGGCAAAATCTTCTTAGTTGAAGGAAAAGAGCAAAATTTAAGGAATGAAAACAAAAAAGTTCAACAATTTTTCGTTTTCTAAAGCAAAAATTATTTTCAAAACTGCGATACAAGAGATTATGATTCTATCAAAATTGGAGTGAAATGTTGGTTTACACTTTCTCGGGACATGATTGGCAGGTCATTGCTTGACGCCTTCTGCACAAACGGAAATAAAAATGATCACATTACTTCGTTCCTTTCATTCTGTACCGCCTGGAAGATACGGATCCTGCCTTGTGTCTGATAAAAGGATTGGATTTAGCCATAAATAAATCGCACTAACCACATACGGGCGGGCGGACCATGTAGTTTGTCAAATCGCACAAACTCGACGAAAAGGAGGTACTGAAAATTATCAGAATCTTCCTGTTTTTCTATTTTAGGAAAAAAGTGTCACATCACTTCTAAATTATTCTATAGTCTAGGGGGTTTTGACTTCAGTAATTACTCACAATAGTTCTTCAGATAAAAATTTGTTTTATATTACTTTTCTTTTTGAAAGACAGCTTCACCAAATTTTTTCAACACAAAAATAACTATTTACTTTGCGTGGGATTCACACATTTAAAGGGTTTTTTCCTTCCCCTTTATTTTTTTTTCCGAAATTTGTATTGCTTTATTGTATGCTCCCCTTGCAGTAAGAAAACGTTTTCTAGTAGATCTTTTTTCGACAAAATGTAATATTTCGTGTGTTTATCACTTGTTTAGAAGTCAACAGTAGCTTCACTTTTAGTTGTTTTCTCTTCTTTCTCCAAAATTGCGAATTTCTAACTGTATGATAAGCCATGTACTTAATGATAAATACTACGACACAATTGTCCTCTACTTCGTCCTTTTGTCCCTTCCCCGATGGACTTCAAGCTGTTGGGATTTAAAATTGCCTCCGAGAATTGATATTTGCGATGATGTTAATTTAATGACTTCTGTTGTTATTATTGAATTTCCCAACAAATAATTACATATATATAATGTGACTCTCTTTCACTGGCTCTTCATTTGTGGCACATTTATTTGAAAAGCTTGCAGCCATTTCCAAGCTCACAGTCCTTTTGTTCTTTTTTGAAAAACGTTTTTATTAAAGCTTTTTGTTATCAACTTTGCCTTGTATTTTCTGCTATTTTTATGTTGTGGAAAGGTAAAAAAATTTGTTTGAACCGTTTCTGTGGTTAGATTTCGATTCACGTCTTCCATAAAAATCTTAAAGTCTCATAGGAAAAACAATTCCAACTTTGAAGGAGAAGGTATACGGCAAGAAAGCGTTGAAAACGTAACCAGCTGGTTACATATGGAAGGCCAAACCGCGCGTATCAAGTTTTTGTTGCGTGCATCGAACTTACCATTTTCTTCAACTTCAGCAAATGGAGAGCACCTTTGCATATTGAACTCTATATCTAACTATTAATTGTTCTGGGATCAAAAAGAAAGATCCCATTCTTGAGTAAAATTTGCAAAGCTTTGTATTTTGTTGCGAAAAAGAGACCAATATATTGATCATTCTCTCGAAAGAGGGATGGAAATGCAAAAGAAAAAAAAAAAACTGCCTACCGCTAACTGACATGGCGTCAAGTATCAAGTAAGTATTTCTTAAGTCTGTTATTATGAATAATGTTTCTTCTCGATTCTCTGATGATGTAGTTTTTGTAGTTAACTTAGCATCAAAGAAGGTCATCCTTATTTCAACAAACGTGCTTATTCTGATAAAATTGTGATTTCGTTTCTGTGTAAGGAAGTATTTTCGTGTCACCAACTGAAACTTTGTTTCTTTTTTTTTTTTTGACTTCATACTATATTGTTTTAACTTTTCATTTCCATACTTATGATAAAGTTCTCACACGTACCTGCCTTCATTTAGGGACAGATAAATCTGTTACTTTTTTTAAGGTGAAAGGAAATTAAGAAATTTATTTTCAGTTCTCCGAATTAAAAAGCTAGTATTACCGGTGCGGTTCTTAATTTGAATTTCATCCGCCTTTTTTTGCATAATGAACGGAATCTAGCATTTCTCTCTCATAACTTACGGCGAGATTCAGTCGAAAATCACAATTTAAATATTTCGTGTAGTCGGGAACGTTCTGTACATTAATTTCTCCCTTAGGCCGGTTAGCCAGTTTATTTTTTGATCTTTGTGTAAAATGTCAAACATCTTTATAAATGACGAGGGTTTATTATCATCGATGGTCAGAACAGACTTAAAAGTGAATGGATGGCGCCTGTAGCGATCATGTTTGACATGGTCAAGCACCATTTCGACCTTTAACCAACGTTTCTCCAATTAATGTGTCAACAGATAACGACCAACTCTCCGACTTGGTTCAGATCCAAGCAATTCAAAACAAGACAAGAAATGCTCTAGAAGAGTACATACGCTTGAACCACCCAGAGTCGTCTAGTCGCTTTGGTCAGCTACTCATCAAACTTACATCTTTAGGAGCTGTGGAGCCACATATCATTGAGCATGTGTTCTTCAATAAACTTATTGGTGGAGCGTCCATTAACAACTTGGTGGACGACATTTTAAGGGCTAACACTCTTATGTCGCACGCAAAAAGCTCGGCCGTGTGAACAGGCAGAGGATGTTGCATTAGCTATTTTTGCTATAGCTGAAGCCAATTTAACAATGCTTTAAAACATCTGTTGCGAATTGACACGAACTACAAACGGCCAAATCTAAACTATACACAAACCACGAGGATACTACTCTACTCCAGGTAGTCTTTTGGCGAAAAAATGTTACGAGAAAACTGTAATTTTTCCCACTTCCAGATTTCGCCTCATCAACTTCTTGCGCACTTTTTCTTCTTCAGCGTTTGCGCGTGAGGTAAAGCAAAGGAGAAGCAACCAAGTCCCGTAGAAGACGGATTTTAACTGAAAATTTCAAAGTGAATTATTAAGCATGCCACTGTTTGATGGTTAAACTTCATAGTACAAAACGCACATCGCAAGGTTATAATATAGAATGTAACTCAAGAAACCATGACATGCCAAACCCACCAATAATCACCTTTTGTATAAATTTGTAGATAGATGTTTAGATATTCTAGTGTTTTGGAATAATGATTCTTCAGTTTACTGTGGGAGCATCGCTGTTGAGGGGTAAAATACAGAGATTAGCTAAAAATTTTTTTATGTCTTTCCTGTTTGTTTCTCTGTAGTAGGTTTGGACAAACCATAGTTTGAACGGTTGGAAAAGCATGGGTAGTAGTCGTCGTTTCCGTTGTAGGCTTCTTGAGGTCGCGCGCGTGCTTCAATTGCTGGCCGAGACGCCCGCTGTTAACAAAAACAAAATGATGATTCACTCGCTCTCCTTCGAAAAGCTGGCTATGGAAGAAGTAGAAGAATTTCGAAAAGTGCAAATCAACAAAAAAGCAGTAGGAATTTCGCTACAAGACAGAAATTGGCCACCACAATATCTTCCCTTGACTTGTGATCTTGGTTTCTGTGGCATTTTCAATTGAGTACCATTCGCCTGATCTGCGTCTGATTGGTTAAAAGAGGGTCTCAACAGGATCGACCGATAGTAAAATGGCCAAAAATTTAGTCGTTAGGTGTTTCACACCAATAAGACCAGAAAATGATTACACTAAAAGAGCGTGCTGCCAAAAGTTCTGTTTATTAAATCTATGGCACGTATTTTGTATCTAAGCAAAGCACATTTCTGCGCGTCCGTGACTAGCTGAGTCGAACGTAACGAAAAGAAATTCTAAGAAAATTGAATCAATAGAAAGAGACGAGTGAATTCAACGCTTCTGTTCGTTTCATTTAACATGATTCAAAACGGAAAACGATGTTCAAGGAGCTTATCAACAAGAATCATAAGCTAAAATCGTTTTTAAATCCTAACTAAAAACGTCAATTCTGGCAAAAGATGCCCGATATCTGCTATAAAAATGAAAAAGAAAATGCATTTTCTACCCTTTGTATCTGGCTCTCAGCCTCAAAGCATCTTTTTTGCCCATTTTATAGAATATATGGTTTCTACTACTCTAGATAGCTTTTCAAAGCAAGGTAAAGTTAGGCGAGTGCCTCGGGACCAAACATTTATTGACCCGCGGGCGCACCATGCTTTCTGGGGTCAGACTTGGCGTATATTTCTCCTCCAGGTTCCCTAGAAATCGCCTGCACCGCAGCAAACAAATCACTGCCGTCGACTTGGTGACCTCGTTCTTTCAAGCCTTCTATCACGTACTTTTCAATGCGATAGGCCTTATTGTTTTCATAAAATACTTCTTGATCAGGCACCAGTTGTGAATGCAATCGAGGTTTATTTACCGCCTTAGACAAGTCATAATCGAACCAGAGTTTGTTCATCAAGACCTGCAGGTGCAAAAATAACTGTAAGCTTCATTTGTATCAATATGTGCCATAAGTTAATCCACCTTGGAGAAGGAGGAAGGAGTCAATAGGCTTCGACCCATTAAAAAATTATATCTGTTTTTCTGAACTTTTTTACGGCTCTCGAAGCAGATTTGAACAAGAGGCAAAGGCGTAGCACGGGGGAGGGGGGGGGGTTTCCTGGGGTGCCTGTGGCCCCCTTTGTAAGCATTTTTTTAAGCAAACAACCTACAATATTCAGGTGGCGAAAACTGGTGATGCCCCTCCCCTTTGAAAAATTCTGGCTACGCCCCTGATGGAGTTCAATACAGAGCCCCCAGAATCATGCTTATTAGCTTGGCAACAAATCGTAAGAGCTAAGGAGCGTAAAATGAAACGACTGGACGTACCAGTGACACAGCTGTGGTTATCCTTTTCCCGCCAGAAGCACCGATTACAAGGCGCACAATTCCACTGTTATCAGTTAAAATGGTGGGACACATGGAGGAGAAAGGTCGCAATCGAGACCCAGGAAGATTGAATTCGGAGGGGGAAATATCATCTACTATGTCGTGACCACGAATATCAAAATCTGCCATCTCATTATTGTAGATGATGCCTGTGGTGGTGGATCGATATTTAGCACCAAACCTATTAAGAACAAACAATTCACGATAATTGGACAGACTAGAATGCAATGCAACTATAATTGTGTTTTGTCAGGTCGCCCGCTTTTTCCCTACGCGTCCCGTGTTTCCCATGCCCATACTTCACGAAAAGTTACGAGCTGCCTCAATACGGGATAAAACGATGGAGATTATTTCTTGTATAAAACTATCAGTTATTGCCATAACTTTACACAATTATTTCATCGCGTGAGGCTTGATTTTGAAAAGAAAATTGAGCTTTTAGCCGAAAAGAAAGCTAGGAATCCTCAAAAGACAAGCTGCTGAACGCGCACTCTTAAGAAAGCAACCATTTTCGGAGTTCACGGACAACGAATATGGCGAAATACCAAAACCAAAATCTTGAAAACTATTTCTCCTCAAGGAATGAGAACGTGTTCGTTCCAGGTCATCGAGAGTGTTAACACCGTTCACTTAACTGCCTTACCACAGTGCCCAGTGCGGCTACCCAGTCTGAAAGAAGCCCGATTGAAACGACAAGGCTATAATAGGTGAGAAATGATAGTCATATTTTAAACTCTCTTCTAGCTTTAAAATATGGCTACCTATCATTGCTCCCGACGAGAGTGGTTCAAGAAGTAGATGCCATTCCCCTTTTTTAGTACCAACGATGGTATCGAATTCAACAAGTTCAGCGGCCGTTCGCAGCTGTCTTTTTGCTGGGGACTTTATAAAAATAAGTGCGACAAACGAGCAGTGGAATTTCGAGTAGTTCTTTCGTTATTTCGTCCCAAGCCTTTCGTGGCTTCTCTGCTCCTTTCTGTGGCTCCTCCTCCCAAAACTCGTAAAAGTGCACGCAAAACCGCTAGCTAAGCAGGCTCTGGTTTAAGCCCGTCGTCCAAAATTGACTAGTGCTAAACTCACCTCATGTTGATGGTGGATGTCACGGAAACCGCGTCTCCATCCGGGGCCAGAACAGATACGTGTGTCGTACCGTAATCAGCGTTCGAAAAGAAATCCGCGTACTACCTTACATCTTTATGGGTCTTGGCATCCCATATTTTCTCACGGATACGATTGCCTGTTTTTGGATCCAACATCTGTAAGGCTCTTTCCTGAGATAGCAGCAAATGAGAAAAATATTCAGCTAATGTTTGGTTCACTTTGAGTGTCCGAACACGCAACTCCCGGTTAGCTCAATGGATAGAGCGCTGGACTGTTGTGCGGGAGGTCGAGGGTTCGAGCTCCGGCCGGACCAACACTCAAGGTCTTAAAAATAATTGAGAAGAATATGCTACCTATCTATAACTGCAGGAAATGGTTAGATATTCTAGTCTTCTCGGATAGGAACGAATTAATGGAGGTCCCGTCTCCTGCAGGGTTAGGGAAGGAGACGTTAATTTCCCACGCACGAGATTACTGTGTGATGGGTGTCCGCCCCTGGGGGTGAAATGGGTGGTTTTGCAGAGCCCCATTTAAACTAGCATTTGCTGAACTGGACATCTGCTAAAATATGGTTGATAAATAAATAAGTAAATAAATATATAAACTTGGACTCCTGTAAATATGCATCTATCCTGTGTGATCGCTAATAGCAAAACTTTAACTTTGATTTGACAAAAAATCAACCGGCGACTTAGAAGAACTCTCTGATATTATCCTTTTAGAAAACGTTGGCATTTGTGTCACTGAATCATTTCAACCTACCGTGATTCGCTTATCGAAAAGTGGATCTCCAAGCAGACTGCGCCAAGCATAACTGAACTTGAAGGATTCAATAATTCGGTGGTAGGCAAGCACAGAGGACTTCTTGTCTTGAAAGGCTGACGAGGTCATATTATACCCTACATTGAAAAAAACAAACCTTTTTACTACAGGGCTTGGTTTGCAGTATGCAGCAAACGATGTTTCTGACTTGTTTCTTTTCGTAAAATCCGCATTCGCTGGCTCTCGTTAAGAAAAAAAATCGTCCACATTCGAAAGCTAATGGTATAAAATTGTTCAGCACTTCTTAGTTCGGTGAAGTTGGAATGTGCTTGTCTACACTCTGAGCCGGTATAGATAAGGTCATGCAGCTCAGTTCTGGAAGAGACAGTTTAATTGGCTAAAATTATTTATATTGGGACCGTCACTAATCTTCGCCTAGGGGAGGGAGGGTGAAGGATTTTGGGATAACACATAGTTTTCAGGGGGAACGGAAGGGAATCTGTCGTCTTCAACAACGTATAAAGGGGCAGAGTCTAGAGAATCCACTGCCAATTTACCGCCCATGAGGGGGAGAGATGGGTCATAAGAATATTACCGGGGGATCAGCTATATTTTA